CACCTTACTTAATAAAGCCAGGGGCCAGGCTGGTACATGTGCTACCACCCCACCATACATAATATACCAGGGCCAGGCTGGGCATGTACCTGCCACACCTTACTTGTAGCCCAGGGTGGGCTGGTACGCGCACACACCACCCACACCTTACATGTAAACCAGGGTCCAGGCTGGTACATGTGCCACTACCCACACCTTATGTAATAAACCAGGGCAGGCTGGTACATGTGCCACTACCCCACACCTTCTTCACTTAATAAACCAGGGTCAGGCTGGTGCATGTATCATCACCCACCTTACGTAATAAGCCAGGGCAGGCTGGTACATGTACACCACCCCACACTATACTTAAGCCAAACCGGAGACCCGGGCTGGTACATGTGCCACCACCCACACATACATCAATAAACCAGAGACAGGCGCGTTACGCCTTGCACCACCCACACCTTGCATCAAAACCAGAATGGGCGTTTTTGTACCTACCCACCTTAACCATCAGGGTCAGGCTGGTACATGTCATCACACCCACACCTTACGTAATAAACCAGAGACTTGGGCTGGTGCATGCATACCACCACCTTACTTAATAAACCAGGGTCAGGCTGGGGCGTGTACCACTACCCCACACCTTACATGTGTGACAAACCGGGCCAGGCTGGTACGTATTATCATCACCACGCACGTAATAAACCAGGGCAGGCTGGTACATGTGCCACCACCCGCACCTTACTTAACTGCATCCAGGGTCGAGCTGGTACATATGCACCACTACCCACACCTTACACGTAATAAACCAGAGATGGGCTGGTACATGTACCACCACCCACACCTTACTTAATAAACCAGGGGTCAGGCTGGTACATGTGCCACTACCACGCCCGTAATAAACCAGGACCCAGACTGGTGCATGTGCCACCACCCACCTTGTAATAAAACCAGGCGCGGGACGTGTACACCACACCTTACGTAATAAACCAGGCATGAGCTGGTACATGTTACCACCACCCACACCTTACGTAATAAAACCAGGGACCAGGCTGGGCATGTGCCACCCACGCACGTAATAAACCAGGGCCAGGCTGGTACATGTACCACTACCCACACCTTACGTAATAAACCAGGGGTCGGGCTGGTACATGCCTGCCCACACGCCCGTAATAAACCAGGGTCAGGCTGGTACATGTACCCTACCCACACCTTACGTAATAAACCAGGGCCAGGCTGTTTTGTGCCACCACCCTTACGTAATAAGCCAGAGGCCAGGCTGGTACATGTACCGCCACCCACACCTTACGTAATAAACCCAGAATCAGGCTGGTACACATGTGCCACCACCTGCCATAATAAACCAGGGCCAGGCTGGTACATACCCACCACCCACATTACGTAATAAACCAGGGCCAGGCTGGTACATGTGCCACCACCCACACCTTACCTAATAAACCAGGGTCAGGCTGGTACATGTGCCACTACCCACACCTTGCCCAATAAACCAGGGTCAGGCTGGTACATGTGTCATCACCCACACCTTACATAATAAACCAGGGCCAGGCTGGTACATGCCACTACCCACACATACATAATAAACCAGGGTCAGGCTGGTGCAGCACCACCACCCACACCTTACGTAATAAACCGGGTCAGGCTGGTACATATGCCACCACCACCTTACGTAATAAACCAGGAGCCAGGCTGGTACATGTACCACCACCCACACCTTACGTAATAAACCAGGTCAGGCTGGTACGCCTTGCCACCACCCACACCTTACGTAATAAACCA